GGGTGGGGCTGCAGGGGGGACGGTTAGTTTCATTGCAGCCAGCTGGAGTTGCAGGAGAAGCCAGGGAGCGAGGGGGGACGGGGCGATGCTGGGTCACATGGAAGCTCGTGGGAGCTGGGACCAGCTTTCTGTTCGGGGTTTACGTGGTGCCCAGCACAAAGGGGGGACCCCAGGGAGCTACAGGGAGCAAACACCCATCGCCGGCCCAGCACGATGGCTGCTGGCCCAGCGACCTCGCCAGACAGTTCCCAGCTGCAGGAGTTTTGTCCTGTGGCTCTGCCACGTGGCGCCTCCCGCCCAGCACCGGAAGGCAGCTGTGCTTTGCATGGGCTGTGGTTCCGACCGCCCTGGGATGGGGCCCCTGGACGGAGGCCAGGCCTGGCTCCTGGCTGGAACGCTGCCTCCAGCACACACCCTGTGGGGGTAACCCAGGTCCCGCGTGGGTCCTGTCTGCGGGGGCCTGCCCCAGGGCTCTGCAGTGCTCAGCCCACGGGGGGTGGGCTGTTCCCAGGCTCCGTGGCAACCAAGCTCCGAACGTCCAGGCACTTTCACCCTCCGGCCCTTCTGTGACGGACCGGGCCGTGTCTGGGCACAGCTGAGGGCGTCCGCTCAGGGCGAATTGCTCAAATCCAGGGCTTCTTACAGCCCCCTAGACTGGTGACCTCTCCAAACAGGCCACAAACCAGTCCCACAGAGCGCTTCAGCAGCCTGCCTGAAGCCTCCTGAGCAAAACCCCTCCGACACCCCAGCAATATCCGTGCCCCAGATGGCCCCGGGCCTATACACAGGTGGGGGGTCCTAGCACCCAATCCCACCTACCCCGAACAAGTTCTGTCCGGTTCCAAGAAACCAGCCACAGATCCCTGGTCAATTTACCCTCTGGATCTTACCCACAAATCACGCTGGGCCAATCCTTTAGAATCTATATCTAAAGGTTTATTATTACAAGAAAGAAAAGCCTGAGAGTAAGGTTATTAAAGTACAGTACGTTACATGCACCGAATCTCCCAGTCCTCGATGCAGGCTCTAGCAGAGATGTTGCAGCTGCTGGTTAAAAGTCCTTATTGCACATCCTACGATCAGGATGGGTTCACAGGTCTTCCAGGCTCTTCAATCCCTGCAGTGCTGCCTCTGGGGTGAAGTGCTGAGCTGAGAACAAAATGGCATCGACCACATGGCCTCTTTATACTCCTTCCTGGCCTCTTCTAGTATGTAGCAGGTCACCTGGTCCTCAGCCTCTCTGCTGGCAGCTCTTGGGTCTCCGCCCCCCTGCTTTAGGTGTGTCTTTTGGCCATCAAGGGCCATTGTTCCACAGGGCTTCACTACTCAGCCTGTCCATAGCAATGCTCAACCACATTCACAGAAATATTCAGCTTCCACACAGATTACAGATTCCTACCTACACACATAGACATTATACACTCACATAAATAGCGTACATAAGATCAACAAACAATAATCTCCCATTCAATACCCCACATGGCTCCCCCCACACCAATTTCTGGGGCCAACACCCCCACCTAGGGGTGCAGCAGCGATCTGGCTGCTTCCCTCCAACTCAGTAATGTGACACCTTCCCAGACTCACCCCTTCCCTGGCTCCTCCGGCGGCTGCCCAGAGGGCCCTGCCCCGTTAGCTCAGCTCTGCACTAGGGGTGGGCTCAGGACACCGTCTGGACACATCCGAATGCCAAACACGGGGATTTTCGGAGCTGGGCTTCTGTCTCGCGGTGCCAGGAGACAGCTGAGGGACCGAGGTGGGTTCCAGCCGTGCCCCACTGCCTCCCGGGCTGCTGGGCCCGTGCAATCTGCCTTTGGCAGCGAGCCCTCACTAGCCCTCCGGACGGCAAGCCAGGCCAGGGTCGGGCTGCCGGGGGAGCCAGCCCCTCCTCTCTCAGGCCAGGACGGCTGGGAAGTGGCCGCTGAAGCAAGTTCTCCAGCCGCAGTGACGTGTGGAGCTACGGCGTGACCATGTGGGAGGCCTTCACCTACGGGCAGAAACCGTACAAGGTGAGTGGCGGGAGGGCGTCCCATGGCCCTGCCCCAGCCCTGCTGTCTCAGTGCAGCCCGGCCGGATCCGGGAGCCGTCCCGCTGCGCCTGGGAGCCGCCGTGGGGCCCTGACCGCTGAGATGTGCTCCCACCCAGGTGGGGAGAGGGAGGGGGCCCCACGGGGGCTGCCAGCACAGCATGCGGCCTGGCGAGGGGGCCAGGGCACGGCGCTGGGATCCTGACGGCTCCGGAGCAGGACGGGGCCGTGCCCCGGGCCCGCTGGGTGGGGGCAGGGCCAGTAACGCGTTGCCCCGCTTGCCCCTCTCGCTAGAAAATGAAGGGCCCCGAGGTGATCAGTTTCATCGAGCAGGGGAAGCCACGGGGGCTGCCAGCACAGCATGCGGCCTGGCGAGGGGGCCAGGGCACGGCGCTGGGATCCTGACGGCTCCGGAGCAGGACGGGGCCGTGCCCCGGGCCCGCTGGGTGGGGGCAGGGCCAGTAACGCGTTGCCCCGCTTGCCCCTCTCGCTAGAAAATGAAGGGCCCCGAGGTGATCAGTTTCATCGAGCAGGGGAAGCGCATGGAGAACCCGGCCGGCTGCCCCGCAGAGATGTACAAGCTGATGCTGCAGTGTTGGACCTACAAGTAAGACCGACC